CTCAGGGCTGCAGGGCCTCATTCCAGGGGAGGACTGTGCCCAGGTCTGGGTCCCTGGGCAACCCTGGCCTCTGTGGTGCCGGTTTCTGCTGCCCCAGTGGCCCCTGCTGCCCAGAAGCTCCCCACAGCCCCACCCCCAGGCCCAGACCTAGTCATTGTCAGGGGGTCTCAGGCTGTGGTTGGATACAATGTCTTATATCCAAGTACAGTGTACTCACCACAGTGGTGCCACCCATAGCAGTAACCAGAGCCACTAGACAGGCTGCCGTCCCTGGCCTGGCGGCCCTCCTCAGGTGTGGGCGCTCAAGGCTGCTGATCCCACCTCACCCTGACAGTTTACTCCTCTAGGTGAGGGACTGGGTTTCACAGCTCCACACCAGGAAAGACGCCTGCCTGCCAATGCCGCCCAGCAAGGCCACCCAGCTCCTCCTGGGTCTCCAAGGCTGAGGCAAGCCACGTCACGGACTCCACTGTCCTTGCTATCAGGGCAGGAGTCCTAAGCTCAGCAGGCTACAGACTGCTCCCCATGTTGTCTCAGGACCCCCAGCACCTGAGACCCTCGACGCTGATGTCCAGCCTTCCCCAGTGGCCCTGGACCCAGCTCTGAGTGTGCAGAGACAAGGAACACAGGTTGGTGTCCCTTGAAAGCCACTCCAGGGTCCTGAGCTCCTCACAGTCTGCTCACACCCCACCCCAATCTCTGGACTCCAGTGATGCTGAGCCTCGAAGGCTGGCCTCCTCAGCCCTGCTGTCCCCTAGAGCAGCCCACTGCGTGGACTCCTCCCCCACACTCCCTGGAAGACCCCTCCAGCCCTCCCTCCGGGGCCATGCTCAATTAATGTCAGGGGACATCAGACTGTGTAGCTGGCTATAGCTACCACAGTGATGCTGCCCAGAGCAGAAACTGGGGCCAGTTGGATGCCCCTCCACAGCCCCAAGCCTGGCAGCTGCCCCTCTATTCTTGGGCCCCCTCAAGGCCACTGATCTGACCTTGGCCAGGGAAGGATAGGCCCCTCTGGCGGGAGGTCCAGATTCTAGAGCAGAGGCAACTGTCCACATGTCCATGTGTGGCTGGAGGGTCAGAGCAGGGGCGAGGGAGAGAGAAACCCAGAGCCCCTGCATGGGGAGACGGCCCAGGGCAGAGCCAGGCCGGGGTCCTGCAGGGGACTGGCAGTGCGCCCTGCCGCCAGCATGGCCAGGTGGTGCCTGCAGCCCCTGGGTGATCTGAGACAGGCCACAGCTGGGCCAGGCCTGAGCAGAGATGGGCCCAGGCCCAGGGCCCTGGAGAGCAGCAGGAGCTCAGAGGCCCGCAGGCTGCCCCAGGGCTCACGGGCCCCACGGGAACTGGCCCTCCCCAGGCTCCACCCTCGCCCCCCACAGCAGGGAAACTAGCATCAGGGCAGAGGCCAGGCCCCAAGGGACCAAGTGGCCAGGCCCCCTGGCTACATCATGCTTTGGGGACCAACCTGCAGGTGAACCCCTTCCTGCTACGATCTGGGCCTCAGGGGGACTCGGGGTCAGTTCTGGAGGATGTCCTCCCAGCCCCACCTACAGCTCACCATCCAGAGCACATCCTTCTGAGGGGCCCAGGGGAGATGGGGCAGACAACCCCAGGCCCTGGGGACAGACCATATTGTTGGGGCCTCTGTCACTGTGTCAGTGGAGTAGCAGATACCACAGTGATGTGACCCATGTCCCAAAGCTATTGCCACTCCCAAGGGCTGGGCTGGTCACCTCCACCGGTTCTCCCAATAGACTTAGGAGGCTACTGACTCCTCAGCAGCTACAGTCAGAGCTGGAGAGCCAGAGCAGGCTCCAGAATACAGCGGGCAGGCCACACCCAGCCCCTGGATGGCACCCAGTGTCCAAGGCAGAAAAGGGTATGAATGCCCTGATCTCCCAGCCACACGCCCGCACCCCAGAGGCCCTGTCTGGGGGCAGAGGCGCTCCACCCCACCCTGCTGGAAGCCACAGGGGACAGGAGCCCACTCCTCACAGAGCTCCTGGGGAACCCTCAGAGTGTGAACAGGGAGGACAGTCACCTGGGGGTTCCTCAGGAGCCCAGCACTCTCTCCAGGGACGGCGTCTCTCCCTTCCCTCTCTTCTCTCCTCATGTCCCCTTCCACAGAACGGTGGGGACACCATCCAGGAGGGTGGCAAGTGGGCACGTGGCGCCTAGGTGATCTGCTACGAGGCTGACACGGTGCACTGTGAAGTGCTGACTGTGTTTGGCCACCTCGGCTCCCAGGTGCAGGCTGCAGAGCAAACACCTGAAGATCTGCTGTCCTCGCTGAGACGACCCCCAGGCCAAGGAACCGGCCACCTCCCCGCCACCCTGGGTCTCCCTGGCCCCAGGTGGCCCACGCCTATCGCCCACATCCCCCCTCCCAATGAGCCAGTCTACCCAGCCCTACTCACGTGAGACCCTCACTTACTGCTCACCAAGGAAGGCCTGACGTCCTGAACAGATCCTGAGCAGCCCTGAATCACAGTGGATATAGCTGGGAGTACCCCAGTGAGAAGAGCTCTGCCCAGAACTGCCCACGGCAGCTGGACACCACAACCCACACCCACCCTAAAGGGTCTGGGGCCTCCAACTACACTCAGTTGAGTGCAGGTGCTCAACTGAGTTCACCCACCCTGGCTCCCACCATTGCACTGGGGCCAACAGGCTCACCCCGTGCCCAGTGCTGGGGGGCTGGAGGAAGGGTCTGCAAGGGATTCTCTCACAGTGGGACACCCCCCAATGGCTCAGGCCAGGACAAAAAGCCCCTTGACAAGCCCAGCCCTCACCTAAAAGTGACCAGTCAAGCACTAGTCCCCTCAGACTGGATGGACCCGACACCCCACGGCACCTGGACCACAGCTCAAGAGGGCGACTTGGCTGGACACTGGAGCCCCAAGGACTGGACTGGAGCTTTGGCTCTCACCTGGCCAGCCCAAGCTGAGACCTGGGAGGAGGACAGGGTGGCAGGGAGCTGACCTGCACTAACAGGACTCGGCCGAATGCCCCAGGGGAGCCAGTTGCGCTGAGACCAAAAATTTCTAGAGCTCAGGAGAGAAGAACCCAGTGGTCCAGGGACACCTCCTCACAACCGGACAGGACCAAGAGGGACACTGAGCCCACCTACAGGGACCCCACAGTCCTGGAGTTTCTGCTGGTGTTTATGTTACTGTGAGGTGGAGTAGCTGGCCCCACAGGGTCCCAGCAAGCCAGAAGCACCCCAGGACAGCTCCACGTCAAGAGGAGGCATTTGGGTCAGAGTGCAGGCCAGCCGACACCTCCCCAAGGACTCCACGCCCACTCTGCACTCAAGGAGAACAAGGACAGCCCATGCCGGAACTCGGAACTCAGGCCAGGAGACATCCCCCTACTCACGTTGCAGCCAGGAGGCACCCCTCCCTGTGCTGGGCCTCCTGACAGGCGGAAGGGAATTTGTGCAGGCCTGAGACACTGTGCATATTATAGTAGCGGGTACACACAGTGCCACATGTCACACATAAAACCTGCCCGGAAGCCAACCAGAGCCCAGCTGACACCCCAGCCCTACTCACGTGAGACCCTTACTTACTGCTCACCAGGAAAGGCCTGACGTCCTGAACAGATTCTGAGCAGCCCTGAATCACAGTGGATATAGCTGGGACGACCACAGTGAGAAGAGCTCTGTCCAGAACTGCCCACGGCAGCTGGGCACCACAGCCCACACCAGCCCTAAAGGGTCTGGGGCCTCCACCTGCAGGACTCAGGTGCCACTCCCCTGCCTCCCTTCCTGAGAGAAGGAGCCAGTGCTGCTTGCAGGTGGGGGCAGTGGGCCCAGAGCAGCCTGGCCCCACCCTCCAGGTTCAGAGACCCAATGCCCTGCCCTCCTGGAGCCTGGAGCTCAGCCAGACTAGGGCACAAGAGATGCCACCCTCCCCCTGGGCACCTCAGCTCACAGGAAGCAGATAAGTTCCGGGCCAGCTCCGGGAGAGCCCCCTTCCGGCCACCCCTTCCTGCCAGGCCCTCCTTCCCTCCTGTTCTGCACAGGACAGCACAGGGGCAAATGCAGCTTTGTGCCAACCTGGGGCTGCCCTGCACACACCAGGGCCTCATCCCAAGAGGGTCATGGGAAGCCTGACTGACAGCCACTCATCAGAGCCACAGATCAGAAGCCACCTAGTAGGTCCCAGCCCTCCATCTCAAGTCTCCAGGTGGACAGCACCAGGTCCCATAGGATCAGGGGACCCCGGCTGTTGCTGCTGCTGCTGCTGCTGCTACTGCAGAGCTGTTGTCTTTGCTTGGTGTGCAGGGAGCCCCCACACGCCGGGGGTCAGAAGCACACTGTGCAGGTACAGGAGACCCATGCTTGCTTTCTTCCCTGTGCCTTTAGAAGGTGGGCACACAGGCATCAGGGTGAGGTGGTGGAGCTGTGAGTGTACGTGACAGCATACATACAGCACCGAGACCTGGAGCTAACAGGCTGCAGCATGTGGCAGGCAGGACCCAGGTGCATGCCAGGCAGAACAGCTGTGTTAGAACCTCTAGAGGGACCACCAAAAGTAACAAGGGGCAGAGCTGAAGTGCAGCAGCCTTGCTTCCCCAGACCCAGTGCTGCTGCACATACAAAGCACAACCTAGTGGCTCAGGCAGAACCCAGAGCCACAGAGGCTGCCATATGGCAGCACCATCATGCCAGCCTAACGGGACCTGGTGCGCTATCGAGGGTTGTGCTGCAGGAGGTCAGAGTGGCTGTGTAGCAGCTCCCTGCAGTGTCCCTGCAGCCACACTTGCAAGGGAATGAGGGTGGGGGATAGGGTGGTCAAGGGCCCTACAGACCTGTCCAGAATGAGGTCCAGCACTTGCCTTAGGGGTCTCCATATCCAGACGAAGCCACTGAGCCCCGAGCCCCTAGGATGAGCAGCCCACAGAGATCATCACCCAGGACTCAGCACAGGCTGGGAAAGGTGACAAGATTAAGCCATAGAAACATCTGTGTAGAGTCTCTTCTGGTATCGACTTACATCACATTCTCCTCCTTCCAGGCAGGTACGGTGTGGCTGGAGGAATAGGTCACTGGGTGTGCCTTTGGGTCACACTTTGTCCCTGTTGAGCAGGAGCTCTTTCTGCTTCCTGGTGGCCACGCCCTTCTGCCATGACGTTCTGCGTCTCCTCAAGCCCAGAGCTGCGGTGTTGGTGGTCTATGGACTAAGACCTCTGAAACCATGAGCCAAATACACTTTCCTGCTCTAAAATTGTCCTTGCCAGGGTGGTTTGTTTTGTTTTGTTTTTTAATCACAGAAGCAAAAAGGCTGACTACAACACTCTGCAGAGGCAGAATGTAGAGTTGGGTTGTTTTTTTTTTTTGTTTGTTTGTTTTTGAACTAATTTATTTTTTGATGATATAGATGTATACATTTTTGTGCAATGGCCACATTGAACCAATTAATAGATGCATACTTATTCTTTGTGATAAGAACACTTAGATTCTACTCTCTTAGAGAGTTTCAAGGACATGTTACATGCTGGGTGCTGTGGCACATGCCTGAAATCCCAGCAGTTTAGGGAGGTAAGGCCAGAGAATCACAAGTTAAAGGACAGGCTCAACATTTTAATGAGGCTCTAAGCAACGTAGGGAGACTCTGTCTCAAAATAAAAAATTAAAAGGCCTGGGGATGTGGTTTACTGGTTGAGTTCCTCTGAGTTCCATCCCTGGTACAAAAAAATAAATACATAAAGTTACATTGTCATCACCTGCAGCCACTATGTTGTAAGACAGCGCCTTGAGCCCTGGCCCCTAATGGAGTGTGTCTCTGGGGCCCTCCCTCACCCTCCGCCCACTCCCAGCCTGGGCACCACACTTCTCTTCTTCAGGCTCCACTAGCAGGTGGGACTGCGTGCTGTGCCTGCCCTCATTCCTTTGGCCTGATGCTCTTGGGGTTCATCACGGGCTGCAAGGACAGAACCTCTGGGAGGCCGAGCAGCCTCCACCGACACATGGGCATGTTTTCCCTCCTTTCTTCAGTCCGGGTTGGGGCCATGAACACGGCGGAGACGCCCCTTCAGCATGTGCTCTGGTTTCCCTGGATGAACTCCTCTCACCAGCCACAGTGGACACCGTTAATGTAGGAAACAGAACACAGGGAACCCAGCACAGGTGTGACCTGCCGGTGTGGCAGAGGCCTCAGGATGAGCGAGCAAGGCACAGAGACGTCGCCCGTGGGCTCTGAGGTGCAGAGCCGCTGGGCCTGCAGAGATGCGCTTGGGGACACATGTCCAGGACACAGTCCTTAGTCCACTGTGACCCCAGAGCAAGAATGGAACCCCCAAACTGCTCTCCTGCCCAACCAAGGAGGTCCCACAAAGAGCCAGCCAGAGGAGTGAGCTTCAGGCAACAGGAATGCGCGTGAACGGGAACTGTGTCAGCCTCACAGACAGCAGGAAAAGCAGCCAGCAACAGCCTGTTCCCAGGAAAGCACCGCCCCAGAGCTCCACAAGTGACTTCAGGCCCACCGCGAGTGACGCAGTGACAGGAGCCATGAGGAAAACCAGAACCCAAGTGCTGTGCCCAAGAAGGACAGGACAGAGAGGCACATGGGACCTGGCCAAGGCCATGGAAAGAAGCAAAATTTAAAAGGAGATTTCAGGTCAACAGTGGAATGAGCCTGAGGGAAAGAGACTTGGGGGGGGGGGTGACTGAGGGACACGCAGAGCCCATTAGAGACTGCAGACTGAAGAGAGGTGGCACGCAGAGTCAGGTGGAGAGCGGCCATCGCTCAGGCCCATCCCCGGACAGGACTGCTGTAGGGACACCAGGAAAGTCGTCCCCCAGCCCCGGCCATTTCCCCCCAACACATAGAATGTCCAACTCTATTTCAAGGTAGAGATTTCAGTGACATTTTAACTATTATTCCTCTTCAGCGGCTTTCGGCAGTTAATTTTGGAAATTATTCATCTGAGCACATTCAAGGCACCAGATCACCTCTACAAAGGACATGGGCTGACCTGGGCCTCTCACCAGCCACACTGGACACCACAACAACAGGTGGCCTCTGCAGGATGCTGAGGGGGGACAAGAGTGTGTGTCTAGGCCACCAAGCCTCCTCCAAGAGTAAGAGGCAGGGGCCATGCCCATGACCCGAGCCACCCAGGTCCATGTTCAAGGCCTGCCTCGGTGACTTAGAGGGACCCTGTGTCAAAGTAAAATAAAAAGGTCTGGAGTAGAGCTCAGGTGTCGAGCACCCCCGGGTCCAGTCCCCAATACCAAGAAGGAGGAGGAGGAGGAGGAGGAGGAGGAGGAGGAACAGGAGAAGGAAGAAGAGGAGGAAGAAGAAGAGAAGGAGGAGGAGGAGAAGAGAAGGAAGAAGAAGAGGTGGAGGAGGACAAGGAAAAGAAGGAGAAGGAGGAGGAGGAGCAGGAATAGGAGAAGGAAGAATAGGAGAAAGGAGAGGTGGAGGAGGAGGAAGGGAAGGAGAAGGGGAAGTAGAATAGTAGGAGGAGAAGGAGGAGGAGAAGGAAGAGGTGGAGAAAGAAGCGGAGGAGGAGGAGAAGAAAGAACAAGAAGGGGTGGTGGAGGAGGAGGAACAGGAGGAGGAGGAGGAGGGCAGGAGGGCAGAAGTGGAGGAGGAGGAAGGGCTTGGAGAAGCCAGGCCAGGAGCCACCATACAGGTGGGACTGGGGCAGAGAGGACTGCACCTCAGGTGGCCTCAGCTGGAAGGACACCGTCTCCCCACAGCGTGCATATTCCACACAAGCAGCTGGTGGCCTCAGCCCACGGCACCACAAGCCAGAGGACATCAGTATGGCTGCCCGAGCTCGTGGACAGTGCGCACCCTCGCCAAGGAGATGGGTTACTGATGAAGCCACAGATGGTGGAGGAGCAACCAGCTTGTCCCAGCCCATGCACCCCGAGGACTGGAGCAGTGTGCAGAGCGCAGACCAGAGGACGTTCTAGAAGCCGTAGTTAAAAGGTGACCAAAGCAGACAAAAAGAAGAGAACCCTTGACAATGGATTGCGGACTCCTTGGGGATGTTCAAATACAGAGCACAGGCCACTGCCTGGCTCCAGCTAGTCCTGCACATCAATTCCTCCCAGGAGACAGAGCACAGGACCCCCCTGCAGTAAAGAGATTCCAGCCCCTGCTCACAGATCAGACAGCGAGTGGTCCTCACTGGCCGAGACACCCCAACTGGGTGCAGCCCGGGAGTCCTAGGGCAGATGGGGCAGTGGGAGGAGTCGAGGAAACCTCCGGGGGATCTGAGCATCCTCTGTGACGCCATCTCAAACTCCACTGCAGGGTCAGGTCATTCTTGCACTTTCTCCCCTTCCCTGTCCTGTAGGGAGGGGTCCAAGGAAGGCAGAAGGAGTAGCCGCCAGCCAGTCGCCAAGCTGTGTGCTCTGGTGCCCGGACCTCGCCAGCCTAGTCTCCCAGGCTGGTTCACGGCAGGCACTTCTGCTGGACTCTGGCAGGAGGGATCAGAGGCCTGTCCTTGGGAACTCGGGTAGAAATGCTCTCAGGCTCAGCATGGTTCCCAGACACCCCTGTCACTCACAGCGCCTCTCCCAGGAGGGGCACTCCAGGCCTGCCCACTCCAGGCCTGCCGAAGCACACTGTGCCGGGTCCTCCTGAGGCCATCACGGTGCCCGGGCACTTGGTGGAGCAGAGGGAGTCTCCAGCTCAGCCCCATTCCAAGGCCTCGTCTTCAGAATACCTGCTGCCTCCAACACAGGGCAGGTGACAGCCACACCAGGGATCTCAGGGGCCTCCCCAGAGCCAGAGCACTCCCTGCTCTCCTCTCCCCTGTGCCATCCTCAGGAAGGTGTGGTGGGTCCGTTCTGCAGGAGCCACTCACAAGGGAGTCAGAGGCAGCCAGCCCAGGAGGAGAGCGGGAGTCGGCCACAGTGGCTGTGGTGGCCAGGCTTGGCAGCCAGCCGTCCCTGCACAGACCCTGAGCGACGCTCCGCCTGGCCCAGCACCCGGCTCTCCTGGGGCTGTCACTCTGCCCCTCCGGGTGCTGTAGGCTGAGCGTCCAGTGTGGCCCACTGTCCCCATGGCTTAGGGCAAAGGCCAGGGCAAAGGAGTTTGCCTGGAGGCCAAGAACTGCAGATCACCCAGGTCACTGCATCCGTGACACAGGTATGCCTCCAGAGGCCAACGGTGGGGGTACAGACACCCCAGCTCCCACAGCAGCTCCCACTGCACCCAGGGAAGAGGGAGGGAGGGCCCCCCAGGGCTTCCTCTGAGGGTCTCCACACTCTGCACAGGGCAGTCCCCGTCACACTGTGGCCAAGAGGAGCTCAGGACCTACAGACGGCCTGGGACATGGTGCCTGCAGTCAGGCTGCTCCTCTGCAGGGTGCAGAGCAGAGGTGCAGGGGCCTGGGGGACGGGCAGGGCTGGAGGCCACCCCAGCTGACAGCAGCCCTGGCCCTAGACAGCAAGGCCAGCTGCGTCCTCAGGTCCCACAGCTGCTCCTCTCCTCCAGCAAATTCCTCAGCAGAGAGGAGAGGGGAGCCTCAGAGGGCTAGAGACACAGGGCCCCAGAGGAGGTGAGTCTCAGAGGGCAGGTTCAGAGGTCACCTGAGCAGGACAGCCAGAGAGAGGAGGAAGACCCACGTCTGTCTCGATCCCACTGAGGAGGCCAAACCAGGAAAGAAGACCCATGAAGCCACATACCTCCTGTCCTCACCTCCTGTGCCCCTGGACCTAAGCCTCAGTCACCTGTGTCCCCACCTCCTGTGCCGCTGGACCTAAGCCTCAGTCACCTCCTGTCCTCACCTCCTGAGCCCCTGGACCTAAGCCTCAGTCACCTGTGTCCTCACCTCCTGTGCCCCTAGACCTAAGCCTCAGTCACCTGTGTCCTCACCTCCTGTGCCCCTGGAACTAGGCCTCAGTCACCTGTGTCCTCACCTCCTGTGTCCCCGGACCTAAGCCTCAGTCACCTGTGTCCTCACCTCCTGTGCCCCTGGACCTAAGCCTCGGTCACCTGTGTCCTCACCTCCTGTGCCCCTGGACGTAAGCCTCAGTCACCTGTGTCCTCACCTCCTGTGCCCCTGGACCTAAGCCTCAGTCACCTGTGTCCTCACCTCCTGTGCCCCTGGACCTAAGCCTCAGTCACCTCTGTCCTCACCTCCTGTGCCCCTGGAACTAGTCCTCAGTCACCTGTGTCCTCACCTCCTGTGCCCCTGGACCTAAGCCTCGGTCACCTGTGTCCTCACCTCCTGTGCCCCTGGACCTAAGCCTCGGTCACCTGTGTCCTCACCTCCTGTGCCCCCGGACCTAAGCCTCAGTCACCTGTGTCCTCACCCCCTGTGCCCCTGGACCTAAGCCTCAGTCACCTATGTCCTCACCTCCTGTGCCCCTGGACCTAAGCCTCAGTCACCTGTGTCCTCACCTCCTGTGCCCCTGGACCTAAGCCTCAGTCACCTGTGTCCTCACCTCCTGTGCCCCTGGACCTAAGCCTCAGTCACCTGTGTCCTCACCTCCTGTGCCCCTGGACCTAAGCCTCAGTCACCTGTGTCCTCACCTCCTGTGCCCCTGGACCTAAGCCTCAGTCACCTGTGTCCTCACCTCCTGTGCCCCCGGACCTAAGCCTCAGTCACCTGTGTCCTCACCTCCTTTACCCCTGGACCTAAGCCTCAGTCACCTGTATCCTCACCTCCTTTACCCCTGGACCTAAGCCTCAGTCACCTCCTGTCCTCACCTCCTGTGCCCCTGGACCTAAGCCTCAGTCACCTGTGTCCTCACCTCCTGTGCCCCTGGACCTAAGCCTCAGTCACCTGTGTCCTCACCTCCTGTGTCCCTGTTCCTAGGCCTCAGTCACCTCCTGTCTTCAACCTCCTGTGTCCCTGGTCCTAGGCCCCAGTGCAATAGCACAGCGGTCACTCTCCCTGGACCCAGGGGCCCGGTCACAAGGCTGACCCTGGCACCACCTTAGGGTTACAAGGCCGGGCATGGCCTGGGACAGTCGGGGCAACTGTGGGGACAGGTGCAGGGTCACTGGGTCACACCCCAGTAGAAAAGCCCCGACCCCAGTGCTCAGCACAGAAACCTGGGAGACACAGCAAGTAGTCGAAGCTGCCCAGAAGAGAAGCTGCCCACAAGACCGGCAGAAGCTGCGGTCCCCATGAGATGCTCTGCTGGCCTCTTGGAGGTCGAAGGTGACCTGAAAAGAAGAGCTGAGAAGTCTGCCTTCCAAAGACCCCACAGTGGGCCAACAGGAAGCCTGGAGGGACACTTGCCACCAGGGGCAGCACTGGACACGGGTGCCATTCCAGGCCAGGCAGCTGGTCAAGGTGTGAGGAAGGAGCTGGAGTGAGCACTGAGACACTTGACTAGGTCCCAGGTGTCTCTTTAGTGACTTCAGAGTCTTCTTAAAATGACCTTCTTTAAAAGTGGACAAGAAAGCCAATGTCAGCCAAGCAGAAGCGAAGGAGCCAACTGGACAGCACACCAGGAGGAAGGGTGCAGCGGCCTGACTCTCGCGGGTCCACTGGGGTTGCTGTGAAGCGGGGGATCCTGGCGAGAGTCCCCACTTGTTGGGAAGGGAGGTTCCTCTAGTAGCACTGGTCCCCTGGGGTAACTTCTGGCCAGCGACTGACCCTGGTGACATTACCATGGGTTCACTTGTAGAGAAGCCCCTGGAATAGGATGGCCACCACCACCGTTCCAGAGAGGACCAACTAGGGTCAAAATCTCCACTGCCCGGGGCGGAGGAGGAGTTGGACTCCCGATTAGGGAAGATTGCTGAAGGGGGCCCCAGTCCTCAAGGCAAACAATGAGTTTGACCCCCTCTGTCTTCCCTGCTCAGAGGTGAGCTGCCCTCTCCCTGAGGGGGCTCTGCGGGCTCCCTTGGCCTTCCCTCCCCTTCACTTGTGATACAGTCCTCTTGCGTGATTTTGGTGTATGACTTTGAATTTTCTTTCATTGGAACACAAGAACCGAGGTGTGGGGTTTCCCTGTTCCCCTGTGGCACCAGGATGCAGGACTCGGGGTGTTCTCCTATTAGAAACACCTGGTGCCCCCAGGAATCCCACCTGGGCTGGGAAGTGGCTGGGCAGAGCAGGCTCTGCTTCTGCAGAAGGTGCGCTCCCGGCCTGGCTCACACCTGGGCAGAGTGTGCCCGCTCTGTCCCCAGACCGCTCTGCCCCTTGATCTCATGGGGGAGCTGGGGCTACACCTACACAACTGGCTAGTTCTAATTGGGGCAAGAAAGGGAGGGGCTGTAGTTAAAATGACGGATGTGACATTACATTCAATGCTGAATGCTGTATTCCGAAAATGCACCACTGGACCTCTAGTTCTCACAACCCCCCTTTACACCTTTGGGGCTCACTTTCGCTTTGTTCTTGTGTCCTTTGGTCCTGCCCTGCATCCTAGACATATTAGCTTGTTGAGGTGGCAATTGCCCATAATAATGAGTCCTCCCCTTTTAGCAACTCAGATAGCGTCAATGTCTATAACTTAACTTCAATGTCCCCTGCAAGGGACCTGCGCTCCAGGGAATGAAACTCTGGTTGGACACAGTCTGGGGGTCCCTGACCACCAGGCATCCGGTCTTGCAAGACCATCACTGAAGTAAAGCGTTGCTTTCTGCTGTCCCTCCTGTCTCCTAGTCAACTCTATGGGCTTGGACAGGTGAGCATGTTCCTCACCCAGCCACCATCATAGAAATAAAGATACACTCACTGGTTGGGGTCCCAGCCCACTGGAGTCTTGGAGGGTTGGACCTGCAAGGGACCTGCTTCTCAGCCAAGACCACTGACATCTCCCTAGCCCCTGGAGGGAAATGGAGGCTCTGCCAGGATCCAGGTTGGACCAAAGGACACCCAAAGTGGGACAGGCTTCACTTCATACTCCAAATTGTGAAACTGCGCAACGCTTTTTCTGTAAGATTCTTAATATTTAAAACACCATTGAAGGTTAAAGCAAATAATAAATATAGAAAAAATAATCCAACAGTAAAGGAATAATATCATTAGAATGCAATGAATTTAAGCTAATGAAAGAAAGAGTCAATCCACCTACCTGCTCCTGCCCCCCTGCTCCTGCCTCTCCCCTGCTCCTGCCCTCCCTGCTCCTGTACCCCTTCTGCACCTGCCCCTCCTCTGCACATGGGCCTCCTCTGCACCTGGGCCTCCCCTGGACCTGGGCCTCCTCTGCACCAGCCCCTCCCCTGCACATGGGCCTCCTCTGTACCTGAGCCCCTCCTGGACCTGGGCTGTTAGGTGCAGGGCAGGTTGAACTAAGTTGTCTGCAGGGCACGCTGAAGGAATGTTAGCTGCAGGATAACCCAGGCACTCAAACCCCCAACTCTCTGGTCCTTTATCATCTGTTTGCATCAAGTCTGAACACTCAACCCCACTCGACTGGGAAACCCACATCTGAACCCTGCTGCATCTTCCTGAAGGTAGAAGACGACACCCTTAGAAACTACTGTATGATCCGATCACTGTACGCCAACAGGGCAGCTTGCAGACCCAGAGACCCCATTAGATTTGGGCTATAAAAATTCCCTCCTGCTGGGGCCTCTCTCTTGCTCTCTCTCACTTTTAGTCTCTCTCCCTCTCAACCTCTTCCTCTCTCTCTCTCTCTCTCTCTCTCTCTCTCTTCTCCTCTTTCTCACTGGTGCAATACAGATCTCTCGGTCGCTCCAAGTGTTGTGGTCACTCTCCTTTCAGGGGCCTCCTCTGCACCTGGCCCTCCCTGACCTGGCCCTTCCTTGCACCTACACCTCACCTGTGCCTCGTCCAGATTCCACTGGGACTGCATTTGTACCAAGGCACAGTGCATCCAGGATGGGGAAGGTCCTCTGGGAGTAAGAACCAGCGAGACCTCTGGTCACAATGGTGGCCAATTCCAGACAGACTTTAGAGAAGGGCCCAAGTCCGGGGGCATGAACACAGCCAGTGAGTGCCACTCAGCCCAGGCAGCACCCCAGAGCTGTGTCCTGGAGACCAACCTGTGGTGCCTTCACACGCACCTCCAGACCCCAGGAGCACGTCTCAGATCCAGAGTCCTCGGTCGGCCACCACACAGGTGACCCCCGACCTGGCCCACCTCAGGCTTTCCTGGGTAGCGGCTCCTGCTCCCTGAAGGAGTGAAAAAGGCCCAGAGGGACCCACCCAGATGTGGGGGGCAATCTATCCACCAGGAAGCAGCACAAAGGGTGGTTCCTTGAGGGGGAGACCCTGGCCTGCAGTGGAGCCCAGGACACCACTAAGCAGGTCTTTGGCCACCTGCAAGGACAGGTCTTCCCAGTGCTCCCAGTAGGACAGCATGGGGCGCTGGCTGCCCAGGCCACTCTGAGGTCCCAGGTCCCCTTCTGCTGCTGGCTGGCAGTGGGACTGCAGCTGGGGCTGCATCACTGTGACATTACCTGATCTCAGTGTCCACCAAAACCCCCATGGGAGGCCAGAGCCCAGCGCTCCCTGCTGGCACCATGCCCAGGGTTCTGCACGGGCCACACCCCGTGGGGGCAGTGGTCATGCAGCAGTGCAGCCTGCCATCCCCAAGTGGCAGCTGTCACCAAAGCAAGCCCCTCCCCAGCTCCCCCAGACCCAGCAGGCCTCACCACCAGGGTCCTGCCCCCAAGGCCACCAAGGTGGTGCGGGAGCTCCACTGCACCCACCCAGACTGTCACGGAGAGCTCAGTCCTTGTCCCGGATGCCACTTCATGCCGATTTAATAAGGAGGACACGGTTTTCAGGAAGAGGAAAGGGAGGAGCAAAGGAGAAGAGCAGAGGACTCAGTCCCAGAGGCTGGGGTTCTGCCCCTCAGGGAGCCGAGGGCTTTCAGGAGCCATTCAAGGCCACAGGCCAGCTGTGCCCTGCCAGGTCCCAGCTGTGCCCTGAGGTGAGCTGCAGTTCACTTCTTAGGTCCTCAGGAGACACCTCCTTCCTGAGGTGGGGGTGTCCAAGGACAATCCCCTAGGGGGAGAAAAGACAACAGAGTCCCCCCATCTCCTTAGGGAGGGGAGAGGGGAGAAGAGAGGAAAAAAACTGCCCTTTTTAATCCTCAAAGCAACAAGGGCTCTATTCAACAGGTGAAGTGGACCACTGTCACAGAGTGCTGGTGCCCGGCCGGCTGCCCAGCAGGCTCCCCGCTTGGGATTGGTGAACAGAGGGGGCCACAGCTGGGCACTCCAAGATGCCCTCTGCAAGCCCAGGAACCCCTGTCTGCAGCAGCCTCCAGGATGGGGGTGGCCCCGTGCACTGGCTCTGCCCAGCCCCTGGTCACGGCCTGCCTGCCGGCAAGAGCAGATACCCCACCCTCACCCTACGCCCACATGTGCACCCCACCCCACACCCACACACCATCCACCACACTTGACTCACCAGGGGAACCCAACCGAGCTGCCAGCTCCACACTCCAAGACACGGATGCTTCCAGAGATCCTATCTTCCTCCCTCAGACCCTCCCAGTGCAGTCCTTGGGGACCTCCTGGGACACACTCTGCATCAAGACACCCTGTGGGGCAGTCCTACACCTTCACACCTGCCCCATGGCTGCAGCTACAGGGGGACCTGCCTCCTGCCCACCCCCAGCAGGATGTCACTGCAGGCCTTTCCAGGAAGAGGCCTGACCCCCACGTATTGGCAGTGACTGGGCACTGCTGTCTGTGGACTTGCTGGAAGTTTGGCCCAGGGTTTGGGAGGGGCCTCTGTCGGCAGGGCTTTTTGTGAAGGGCTCTCCTACTGTGTACTACTACTATGATGGGTATTACTATAGCTACCACAGTGGTAGACCCAGCAGCAAAAACCCCGAGAACCAAGGGCGTCCTGTGCTCACAGCCCTGTGGGCAGCAGGGGCAGGCACTGGAGAGTCCACACCCAGATCCCAGCATCTCTGCCCACCAGCTGGAGCCCGGGCACAGCAGGAGCCCACCAGCTGGAGGCTTTGGGGGCTTTGAGGTGACTGCACAGCCACATACAGCTCTGTGCCTTGGCGTCCAGCAGCTACTCCACAGAGCCCGGCAGCCCCAGCAGAAGAGGAGCCAGCTCTCCACCCCAGGAGCCAGAGGCCTCCAGCCTCATCCTGGCCTGAACCAGTGGGCTGCACCCCCAAACCTCCCAACAACAAAGACCCCCAGAGACCTTTGCCTCTGAGAGAGCAGGTAACTCTCCAGGCCCCACTCAGTCACCCAGGAACAGGAGCGAGAAGCACAGGAGGGACACCCAAAGTGTAAGCAGAAGCAGCCACAAGGTTCAGCACCCTGTGGAAGCACAGATAACCAGGAGGGAAACACAGCCAACAGGTCAGCTCTCACTCCCCAGAGTCCATCCCTCAGGCCCTGGGGATCCCTCTCTGGGCAGGAAAGGCCCCTGGTTACAGAAGGGCTCAAATTTCACAGGGTACAAGGAGGGCAGCTTAGTCATTGGAGACTGAGGACCTGGGATTGGACAGTGCTGAAACCAGTTGTGCAGGTTAAAATTAACTCAGGAAGCAATTGTAAAAAGTTTAAACTCCTGGTTACCTGGAGGAGGTAGGGGCTCAGATCCCACCCACCGCTCTTCTTCTTCCTCTGGGATTCCTTGTTTCCCAGAGTTTCACATTTACTTATTTCCCTCCTTCCAGGACTAATGCTCAATGGGGAAGGGAAATGTCTTATTTTCCCTCCCTCCTCCGCCCCAGGCCCTTCCCTTCTCCCCAGGGCTGTCTGGGGGATGTTCCCACCTTTCACAAAGTAGGGTGGCTCCTGGGAGCCCCAGGGCCACTGGCAGCCTCAGAGGGGTCACAGACCACCTGGGGCCTGGCGGGGCTTCTGCTGGCCTTTCCTGGGAGCCTCTGGAACCCAAAGGACACCCCTGGAGCTAACCTAATCCCTGCTGCATGGGGACTTCCCAGTAGGCACCCAGAGGGCTCAGGGAGGGCCAGGGCACCCCACCCGCAATGACCAGACGAAGGTGGTGCCTCTGGCCTGTCTCAGACTGCTCAGGGCTGCAGGGCCTCGTTCCAGGGGAGGACTGTGCCCAGGTCTGGGTCCCTGGGCAACCCTGGCCTCTGTGGTGCCGGTTTCTGCTGCCCCAGAGGCCCCTGCTGCCCAGAAGCTCCCCCAAGCCCCACCCTGGCCCAGACCTATTTAATGTCAGGGGGTCTCAGGCTGTGGTTGGATACAATGTCTTATATCCAAGTACAATGTACTCACCACAGTGGTGCCACCCATAGCAGTAAGCAGAGCCACTAGACAGGCTGCCGTCCCTGGCCTGGCGGCCCTCCTCAGGTGTGGGCGCTCAAGGCTGCTGATCCCACCTCACCCTGACAGTTTACTCCTCTAGGTGAAGGACTGTGTTTCACAGCTGCACACCAGGAAAGACGTCTGCCCTGCCAATGCCGCCCAGCAAGGCCACCCAGCTCCTCCTGGGTCTCCAAGGCTGAGGCAAGCCACGTAACGGACTCCACTGTCCTTGCTCTCAGGGCAGGAGTCCTAAGCTCAGCAGGCTACAGACTGCTCCCCATGTTGTCTCAGGACCCCCAGCACCTGAGACCCTCGATGCTGATGTCCAGCCTGCCCCAGTGGCCCTGGCCCCAGCTCTGAGTGTGCAGAGACAAGGAGCACAGGTTGGTGTTCCCCGAAAGCCACTGCAGGGTCCTGAGCTCCTCACAGTCTGCTCACACCCCACCCCAATCTCTGGACTCCAGTCCTGCTGAGCCTCGCAGGCTGGCCTCCTCAGCCCTGCTGTCCCCTGGAGCAGCCCACTGCTTGGACCTCTCCCCCACACTCCCTGGAAGCCCCCTCCAGCCCTCCGTCTGGGGCCACGCTCAGTTAATGTCAGGGGACATCAGACTGTGTAGCTGGCTATGGCTACCACAGTGATGCTGCCCAGAGCAGAAACTGGGGCCAGCTGGATGCCCCTCCACAGCCCCAAGACTCGCAGCTGCCCCTATGAGTCTTGGGCCCCCTCAAGGCCACTGATCTGACCTTGGCCAGGGAAGGATAGGCCCCTCTAGCGGGAGGTCCAGATTCTAGAGCAGAGGCAACTGTCCACATGTCCATGTGTGGCTGGAGGGTCAGAGCAGGGGCGAGGGAGAGAGAAACCCAGAGCCCCTGCATGGGGAGACGGCCCAGGGCAGAGCCAGGCCGGGGTCCTGCAGGGGACTGGCAGTGCGCCCTGCGGCCAGCATGGCCAGGTGGTGCCTGCAGCCCGTGGGTGATCTGAGACAGGCCACAGCTGGGCCAGGCCTGAGCCGAGAGGGGACCCAGGCCCACGGCCCTGGAGAGCAGCAGGTGCTCAGAGGCCCGCAGGCTGCTCCAGGGCTCACAGGCCCCACGGGAACTGGCCCTCCCCAGGCTCCACCCTCGCCCCCCACAGCAGGGAAACTAGGGTCAGGACAGAGGACGGGACCCAGGTGACCAGGTGGCCAGGCACCCCGGCTACATCAGGCTTTGGGGACCAACCTGCAGGTGAACCCCTTCCTGCTATGACCTGGGCCTCAGGGGGACTCAGGTCAGTTCTGGGGGATGTCCTCCCAGCCCCACCTACAGCTCACCATCCAGAGCACATCCTTCTGAGGGGCCCAGGGGAGATGGGGCAGACAACCCCAGGCCCTGGGGACAGTTCTATTGTTGGGGCCTCTGTCACTGTGTCAGTGGACAGCAGATACCACAGTGATGTGACCCATGTCCCAAAGCCATTGCCACTCCCAAGGGCTGGGCTGGTCACCTCCACCGGTTCTCCCAATAGACTTAGGAGGCTACTGACTCCTCAGCAGCTGCTGTCAGAGCTGGAGAGCCAGAGCAGGCTCCAGAACACAGCGGGCAGGCCACACCCAGCCCCTGGCTGGCACCCAGTGTCCAAGGCAGAAAAGGGTATGAATGCCCTGATGTCCCAGCCACATGCCCGCACCCCAGAGGCCTTGTCTGGGGTCAGAAGGGCTCCACCCCACCCTGCTGGAAGCCACAGGGGACAGGAGACCACTCCTCACACAGCTCCTGGGGAACCCTCAGAGTGTGAACAGGGAGGACAGTCACCTGAGGGGTCCTCAGGAGCCCAGCACTCTCTCCAGGGACGGCGTCTCTCCCTTCCCTCTCTTTGTCCTCATGTCCCCTTCCACAGAACGGTGGGGACACCATCCAGGAGGGTGGCATGTGGGCACGGGGCGCCTAGGTAATCTGCTAAGAGGCTGTGTCACGGTGCACTGTGAAGTGCTGACTGGGTTTGGCCACGTTGGCTCCCAGGTGCAGGCTGCAGAGCAAACACCTGCCCATCTGCTGTCCTCCCTGAGACGACCCCGAGGCCAAGGAACTGGCCACCTCCCCGCCACCCTGGGTCTGCCTGGCCCCAGGTGGCCCATCCCTTGACGCCCATATCACCCCTCCCAATGAGCCAGTCTACCCAGCCCTACTCACGTGAGACCCTTACTTACTGCTCACCAAGAAAGGCCTGACGTCCTGAACAGATCCTGAGCAGCCCTGAATCACAGTGGATATAGCTGGGAGTACCCCAGTGAGAAGAGCTCTGCCCAGAACTGCCCACGGCAGCTGGGCACCACAACCCACACCCGCCCTAAAGGGTCTCGGGCCTCCAACTACACTCAGGTGCTCAACTGAGTTCGCCCACCCCGGCTCTCACCCTTGCACTGGGGCCAACAGGCTCACCCCGTGCCCAGTCCCGGGGGCTGGAGGGAGGTTCTGCAAGGGATTCTCTCACAGTGGGACACCCCCCAATGGCTCAGGCCAGGCCCAAAAGCCCCTTGACAAGCCCAGCCCTCACCTAAAAGTGACCAGTCTGGCAGCAGACCCCTCAGACTGGATGGACCCGACACCCCACGGCACCTGGACCAGAGCTCTGGAGGGCGACTTGGCTGGACACTGGAGCCCCAGGGCCTGGGCTGGAATCTTGGCTCCACCTGACAGGCTCAAGCTGAGACCTAGGAGGAGGACAGGCTGGCAGGCAGCTGACCTGCACTAACAAGACAGGGCCGAACGTCCCCAGGGGAGCCAGCTGCGCTGAGACCAGAAAATTCTATACCTCAGGAGAGAAGAACCCAGTGGTCCAGGGACACCTCCTCACAGCTGGACAGGACCAAGAGGGACACTGAGCCCACCTGCAGGGACCCCCACAGGCCCGGGGTTTCTGCTGGTGTTTATGTCCCTGTGAGGTGGAGTAGCTGGCCCCACAGGGTCCCAGCAAGCCAGAGGCATCCAAGGACAGCTCCACGGGCAAGAGGAGGCATTTGGGTCAGAGTGCAGGCCAGCCGACACCTCCCCAAGGACAGCCCATGCTGGAACTCGGAACTCAGGCCAGGAGACATCCCCCTACTCATGTTGCAGCCAGGAGGCACCCCTCCCTGGGCTGGGCCTCCTGGCAGGCGGAAGGGAATTTGTGCAGGCCTGAGACACTGTGCATATTATAGTAGCTGGTACACACAGTGCCACATGTCACACATAAAACCTGCCAGGAAGGCACCCAGAGCCCAGCTGACACCCCAGCCCTACTCATGCGAGACCCTTACTTACTGCTCACCAGGAAAGGCCTGACGTCCTGAACAGATTCTGAGCAGCCCTGAATCACAGTGGATATAGCTGGGAGTACCCCAGTGAGAAGAGCTCTGCCCAGAACTGCCCACGGCTCTGGGCACCACAACCCACACCCACCCTAAAGGGTCTGGGGCCTCCACCTGCAGGACTCAGGTGCCACTCCCCTGCCTCCCTTCCTGAGAGAAGGAGCCAGTGCTGCTTGCAGGTGGGGGCAGTGGGCCCAGAGCAGCCTGGCCCCACCCTCCAGGTTCAGAGACCCAATGCCCTGCCCTCGTGGAGCCTGGAGCTCAGCCAGACTAGGGCACAAGAGATGCCACCCTCCCCCTGGGCACCTCAGCTCACAGGAAGCAGATAAGTTCCGGGCCAGCTCCAGGAGAGCCCCCTTCCGGCCACCCCTTCCTGCCAGGCCCTCCTTCCCTCCTGTTCTGCACAGGACAGCACAGGGGCAAATGCAGCTTTGTGCCAACCTGGGGCTGCCCTGCACACGGTCTCCTGAGAGTCCTTCTGTGCAGCTCTGAAACTGGTCCTAAACGTCAGGACCAGCCCTTGTCCCCACGTTGAGATTAAACACCCGAGAAACTCCAAGGCAAGAGAGAAAAGCAAATTTCACTGAAGAAACAGAAAAGAGAAAGGGAGAGGGACCCCTGCAGAGACGGGGCGTCCAGAGCTGTCCCCGAGGAGGGGGGTGTCTTGCCCTTTTCTGGATTCAGGCTTCCTTTCCTCTCCTGCCCCCTCCTCTCACCCCACTGCCTAAAGGTGGGAATGACCACATGCAGGAAAGGAGCCCGAGGGGTGCTCATTAGCACCTCTCTGCTGGGAGGGGCAGGTCCCTGGAGGCAGGGGAGCCTGGCCACAGGCTGGAAGACGGGCAGGTGCCCTGGAGGGTAGCGTCTCCTGAACCGGCCGCCCGTGGGACCCACTCACTCGTGGCTACACTGACCCTCTGTCCTCTGCCCTGCCTCCAGTTTTCCTCACTCTCCCTCTCGCTCCAGGGGAGGCCCCAGAGCCCCCTGCGTGTCCCTCAGTGGCCAGGGGCTGGGGAGAGCTGCAGGGCCACATCTCCACTTCCATCACACCAGCCGCCAAGTAACACGGGAAAGGCAGCCAGGAGTCCAGAGACAAATGTTCCAGAAACTTCTCTCACCACCCAGAAGAAAAGAACCCAGAACAGTCCATTAAAATATATTTCACTACTTAAAAATGAGAAAATAACCCTTTAGCTGCTACGTTCTAGGGGCAGGGGTCAGTGTCTCTGTGCAGCAGAGAAGTGAGGCCCAGGACACAGAGGCCACAAGCGACAGCTGCAGAGTCAGGCTTCTGCAGAGAGAAGGGCCCAGCAGGGGGTCCAGGGGGAATTGGGGCCTGTTCTTCTTATGGTCTCTGGAGTCTCCTCCTTCCCTTATCTCCTCCCTGTCCACGTGCTCCTGGCCATTACTGATGGGTGTCCCCTCTGTCCACGCGTCTGTTTGAGTTCTTTCGTTAGGTCCCCCACTTAGGGGCACGAGTAGGGAGGGGTCTGTGTGATTGGGTCCCAGGCGTGCCCACGTGCACTTTGTCCAGCAGGAAGTTGACCTCACCAGGAGACCCTCTCCGTGCGCCTTTGTCCTGACCCTGCCCGGCCCCCTCCCTCGCCATCTTGCCCTGGCTGCCTAGGCCTCTACATCTCCCTCATCCCTGCTCTCGCGGATACCCCAACCACTCTTGGGATTTGGCTCAGTGACCACTCTATCTACTTCAGGCTGACAAGGGGCGTTGTTGGTGTCACCAGGATGTCCTTCTGCGGAAGGTCTAGGGCAAGAGGGAAGCAGCAGGCTGGTCCAGAGGCCAGCACTGAGGATGTTCATCCGTGGGTCTGTGAGGGGTCCGTGGTAGGGATGGAGGGATGACCACGGGGCTCCATTGGTAACACCACCTGGAGTTTCATTGTCTCTACACAAGAGGAAACAACACGAATAAGCAAATTGATAATGTAAGGACCAAAGAGAAGAAAGGAACAGGCCACCCGAGGCCAAGGACAGGAAGAAACCATGAGGTAGATGTCACAGCTGGGATGGGCTGTGGGACTGAGTGTCCTCTGCACCTTTTCCTGAAAACATTTTCTACGTGAGGATACGAGTATGGTCTCCTCCCAACGGTGGAGCTGAGGGGGAGACTTGAAAACCTCCCATCGGGTGCTGGGGAAGTAACAGGGTGCCCTCGGGAGAAACCCCCTCCTCTACGACCCAGGTGGGGTCCTTGAGGGGCAGCCGGTCGGGCCTCTTCCAGTGAGAACTGGGGCGTTCAGGGGACAGGAGAGAATTTCCCACAGGAGCGAGGCGGCTGTGGGACCCGGTAAACATGTCCAGGAACATGAGGCAGGAGGTGGCCTAGAGGCAGGATTTGGCCTCAGAAGGTGAAGAGGTCCTTGGCGTGCCAACAGGAGTGTGCGGTGGTGAGCAAGCCCGCTCCCCAGGCAGCGGCCTGAGCATAGGTACGAGAGGGGCATGTGTAGCTACTGTGTACCTCGACCCTCTTGTCTTTAGAAGGCTCTAGGGCCAGGGGGTCGGGGGGACAACCAATTCTGGCTCCTGCGCTCTGGCACTAGCAGGAAGTGGCCCTGATTCCACCTCAAAGTCTGTCCCTGCTGCATACCCAGATCTCCGAGTGCCGTCGGTCACTGATGAACTCCCAGGGGTGGACAGGGTCGACTGGACTATCTACAGGATGATCAGGTCCCTCTGGGCTGGCAGCGCAAGTGTCCACTAGAACTCCTCACGGGAGTGGAGGGCCTTCCTCTACCTCAGGTAAGAACGCGGCGGCACCGAGGTCATGACAAGCCTTTCAGGTCAGTCCAGGTCCTTCCAGCGGGGCCTGCTGCTGGAGAGTGCAGCTGTCCATAGCCTGAGCTGCCCTTAGAGCTCAGGATGCTCGAGGCCCTGGGAGGGCAGGACAGGAGGGGCCTCCCCAGGGTGAGTGTATGTGCCACGGGCACCAAGAGCCCACTGCAGCACGGCTCCGGGACACCCAGGCCACCCTGGCCACCTCTTCCAACTCCTTACTTAGGTATCTCGCTTCCTGGGAGGGGCCCCCAGTGATTGAGTGACATTGCCACACAGAAAAGTCAGCTGGGCGGCCAGCCCAGAGCAGAGCTCCTGTGCTCAGAAGGAATTTTACCTGGGGCTTGTCCATGAGCAAGGTTGCCAGAGCTCCTCCTGTTGGACCAAAGTCACAGGAGCCACCAAGGGAGTCAGTCTCGGGACCTGTCATTGGGAACTGGTAGGTGGTGGCCTCGATCCCTCAGGTCCCCAGGACTCTAGCCCACCAGTGGTTCCCCGACACAGAGGACAGGTCAGGGAGGCAGTCCACACGTGGTCAACACCTCTGGGGACAATCCTTTTAGAAGTGGCTTTCTCTCCCTCAAGAGCAACAGGAGTGCAGGAGGACCCCGGGCCCCGCTCACAGGCTGCCGTCTGTCCTCCCTGTCCTCTGTCCTCCTTGTTCTCCTCTGCAGGCCTCTATTATGAAAGACCACAGCAGCTAGGCCAAAGGTCCAAGGTCGTGTCTGGCTCCACAGCGCGTGTCCGCAGCTCCCTCCCCACGTCTGGAGAGGACTGGGTAAGAGTCTACCTGTAGGACTGACTTCCAACTCTGGGACCCACAGCTAGTGTGTGGAAAGGGCCTCCCACAGGAAGGTCACCACGGCTCCTCTCCCCTGGAACCTCGGTGGCCAGCAGGGCATGAATGGAGCTAGTGTGGGCTCTCCTCAGTCCTCCTGCCACCCAGTGTACACAGTGACGTACGTCCTGGTCCTTGGTCCTCCTAACTCCCAGTGTACACAGTGATGTCCATCTGGTCCTCAGCTCTCCTGACACCCAGTGTACACAGTGATGTCCATCTGGTCCTCAGCTCTCCTGACACCCAGTGTACACAGTGATGTCCATCTGGTCCTCAGCTCTCCTGACACCCAGTGTACACAGTGACGTACGTCCTGGTCCTTGGTCCTCCTAACTCCCAGTGTACACAGTGATGTCCATCTGGTCCTCAGCTCTCCTGACACCCAGTGTACACAGTGACGTCCCCTCCTAACTCCCAGTGTACACAGTGACATCCATCTAGTCCTCTCTCCTGACACCCAGTGTACACAGTGACGTCCGTCCTGGTCCTCGGTCCTCCTGACACCCAGTGTATAAAGTGACGTCCCTCCCATTCTGAGACCCTCTTGAGACCCAATGTATACAGTGATGTCTGGCCCATTGCTCTCTCTGTCAGTGTCCCAGTGTGGTTCAGGGCCTGGACCCCAGGCTCCCCGGGGAGACCCCACTCTGCCAGCCAGGGTTGCTCTCCTCCTGCTGCAGCAGAGCCCTCTCTAAGACCTTGTGCTTTTCAAGGAAGGTCCAGTGTACTGAGGTCAAGGGGACCCCGTCCTGCACAGTCATAGAGACTGACCACCACTGGAATGTGGAAGGCGGCTCTGGCTCAGTGCCCTAGGTCTTTCTTTATGTCCTCTGATTCAGCTAGTGGAAGGGGACATGTGACACCTCAGGTCCACACCCCTGCCCCAGCATCGCCCTGAGAGGACACAGCCCTGAGCAGCCGACGTCCCAGCACCTCTGGGATCAGAGGGGGAGTGTCCCTGGAGGAGGGGCCTGGGCTCCCGTCCTTATAAGTTGGGTCGTAAAGGGGAAGCCTTCTTAGGACGCATGACCTCTCCTTCTGATGGGCCCAGGGGACCTCCTGAGCAGCTGGTAATGCCCCTGTCCTCTGTCCAGGTTTTCCTGTTCTGGGGTTTGGTGTCTGGCTCAGGGCTGCAGACGAGGGTCTGAGGGTCAGGCGTGCAGTCCTCTAGCTCAGGACGACGTCTCAGGTAAAGGAACAAGTGGACTAAGGAGCTTCATCCCTTTACCCTCCTGCTACAGGAGAGGTCTCCTTGCTGAATAGTACTGTGATTTAGGGTCCCCCAGGGGGCCACTGTCCTCCCTC